TGTGTTCTGTTTCCAGGATGAATAGCAATTTAACTAAATAGTTAAAAACTTACATCTTCTTGTTTCCATTTAACCTCCTTTATAGAATTACATGTTTCTTAAGAAATTAAGTTTACTACAGCCAAAGAAGTGTCCCAGTGCACATTATCAGAGATGAGAAAGAAAGAAATACTTCCCATTTCACAGACCCTCCCTCCCTGCCTCCCCACAGGGTTTCTCTGTGGAACAGCCCTGGCTGTCCTGGATCTCGCTCTGTCGACCAGGCTGGCCTTGAACTCTCAGAGGTCCACCTGGCTCTGCCTCCCAGGTACTGGGATTAAAGGCATGTGCCACCACCGCCCGGCTAGTTTCACAGATTTTTGTAGCATTCTGAGTGGTGCTAGGTTTGGTCAAGAGTCTCTCCTTGTGCCTCCTGCTTCAGTCTGCAAAGCCTTCCCAGGTCCCGAGTAACTCCCTGTTCCTGGACCAGCGATGCAGCAGATGAAGATGGGGTGGGGGCAGTGCTTGTTCCTTATGCCCAGGATGGAAAAGAACCCTATGTTGGCTCCTTGGAGTGGTCTCATCTTCCGCTTCTGTCATGGGGACCACACATGACAGCTGCTTTGGTTTCTATAGAAAGAGATCTGTTTCCTAGGCAAGGGAGCTGGGAGGACTGGTCTCAAGACCCCTTTCCTATTGGTTCCTTATTTCAAGAAGGGAGAGGAAAACTTTTCTTCTGGTTTCCAGGAAAAGAGGGAGCAGAGTCAGCCTGTAGGACCCTAAGATGCCCTGGTTTCTCTTACAGCTACCATTGGGTGCAGGAACGCTCTGCCCATCTTGTATTCTCTGACTTGGTCCTCCACATGTGAGATGCCCTTTGAGCTCTTCTCCAGGGGTGGATAGTGTATACCTACAGAGGTGTAGCTGTTTCTGTGTAATCCCTGTGTCTGTGACTTTGGCCACCTCTTTTGACTGAGTTCCCCTTGAGCAGGATGCTTGTCTTGGCAAGGCTGTGGGGAACTCAAGGCTGGCTGTGTGGGATGTCCACAGGTTGTGGCCCCAGGTCTGTTCTTGCTTGTACAATCATCATGAGGATTGGTGGCTACGTAACTGTGCCATTTGCTTAGAATATTAAAAGAAAATGAGCGAATATTGCTCATTGCTATACAGGTCACCAACACCACCTCTCCACTTTCTCACTTCCTGTGCTGACTACTCAAGTGGCATCCTCATTGTATGTCAGGGACACTGGGAGAGGAAGGAAATTGAAAGAGTAGCTGGAGAGGTCTTTGGAAGGAAAGATCCCTTCCAGCCTCTTACTGTAAGACTCGTGATTACCCCATGCCTCGGCACACAGCTTGATGAGATAGTAAACACCCCCTCCCCATTTTCTATTGAGAAAGTGAATTTGAAACAGTGTGCTGTGACGGTACTAATTGTCAACCTGACAGCTGTTAGAACCACTGGGGCAATGGACCTCTGCTCATGCCTGTGGGGATTATCTTGATTGAGTGATGAGGGGAGACTGTTTTAATCATGAGCAGGACAGTTCCCTGGGCAGAGGATCCTGGACGACATTGCAATGGAGGAAGGAGGTGCTCTGAGCACTGGTTCCCATTCATCCACTGTCTGCCCCTTCACTGTGGATGCAGCAGCAGGACCCACTGCTTCAAGCCTTGTGGTCTTGACTTCCCCTCCTATCATGGACTGTACCTTGAGCTGTGGTCCAGAATAAACCCTTCTCTAGAGAATTGCCTTTCTCAGAGTGTTTTAACTCTTATCTCAGTACCTCTCTCATAATAAGTACTTAATATGTGCAATCATGAAGCACCTATTTTGTAAATACCCAAGGATTTATACTGAATGAACTTCTTGGTGTTCTTGACAATTCAAAAGATAGAATGGTTTGGATTAAACTCTGTTTTAAACAAAGGACATTGACTGTACATCATTATCATCACCATCACCATCATCACCATCACCACCACCATCATCATCATCATCACCATCATCATCATCACCACCACCACCACCACCACCACCACCACCACCATCATCATCATCACCATCTTCATCACTATTGGCATCAGAAAATTTTTGAATTATCTTATAGGAAGGTCATCTTTGACTTACTTTTACCATTGATTTTTCTTGGTTTTAGGCTATACTAATCATGTTTTCTTCCACTTTCTTCCAAGTATCTCACTTTCCTTTTCATTTCCACAACCTGTCTCCTGGGAAGCACAAATCATTTCATTGATCAACTCAGAATGCTGTTCTAATGACCCCACGGGGCTCCATTCTTCTTCCCCTTTACAGCGAGGATCTCCACGAGTCTGGTTTAGATGACCCAATTTAAAGGAACTGCTGAGAAGTCCTCAGTGGCTTCCCACCTGCCTTCAGGATAAAAGTTCAAATACAAGATTCTCTTCCACATCACCTGACTCCAGCTGACCCTTACCATTCCCTTACTTGTCTTCCTTATAAACTGTGCAGTGGGGTCCATGCTGTCAGGCCCTGAGAACTCTCCTATAAAAGCCATGTCATCATGTTTTAGGTCAGAAAGGATACCAGCCTATGGTAGCTTGGCTCACTGGTGGGTATACTCCAAAACTGGGTATAACACGAATCTTAAAAGGTCTTCTTAATAAAAACAAACTGGGAGCCAGGTACTGAGGTGAAACGCTGGAAGATCAGAGAAGCAGAACAAGCTACAGCTACCTCACCTTGCCAATTCCTCAGCTGATTTCTTCAGACTGGAAGCCTCTGAGTCCTTATCCAAATGGATCTCAGCTGAACTGCTGCTAAGAGCCTAAAAGCTTAACTGACTCTAGTTCCTGGTCCTCAGCCTTATATACCTTTCTGCTTCCTGCCATCACTTCCTGGGATTAAAGGCGTGGGTCACCATGCCTGGCTGTTTTCAGTGTGGCTTTGAACTCACAGAGATCTGGATGGATCTCTGCCTCCTGAATGTTAGGATTAAAGGCGTGTGTGCCACCATGTTCTGGCCTCTATGTCTATGTAGTGGCTGTTCTGTTCTCTGACCCCAGATAAGTTTATTAGGGTGCACAATATATTGGGGAACACAATACCACTACAACTGGGCATCTACAGTGCTGCTGTTTCAGGACTGGGGGGAGAATATTTTCACTTTCCAATGACCTAAGACTTACATGAACTAGTATGCTCCTCTTCCAACCCTGAAGAGGAGCAGCCTTCAGCTTTCTGGAGAGTATGAGGCCTGTGCTTGGAATCAGCTCAGCCGGGGAAGCCACCTCTGGACCATATTCTCTGGAGTCCAGCACATGGGTACTCACTTGGACTTCAAGGTGTTTCTACAGCTATACTTGTACTTAAAGATGTTGAGAGCATTGTATAATGTATTGTTTAGTATTTTCTTCATGAGTACCTACAAAACATGTTTTCCTCTTATCTTGGACTAGGAATCATTGGGATTCTGGCAAACTGTGAATTCTGTATCTTCCTGTGTGTTCACCTTTGAGTTGGTGCCCATCACCCAGTTATTCTGAGAGTTACTTAGAGCAGATGTTTCGACATGCAGTGGTGTGGTGGTTTCATTCTGGGCTTTAGCTCACTGTTTTCTGCCTTTTATCCAAATCTGCTCTGATCCAGCCTGTTCTGACTTTTGTCCTGTATTTTTAGCATCAACCTGGTAGGGGTTAGGTGGAGCCTAAATTCACCTTTAAGCACATATAAGTAAATTGATAGCTAAGAAACCAAGTATTTGTGTGAAGAAACATAACTCAAAGTTATTTTCCAATGTTGTAGTTTAAGGAACTGCACAGAGGAAAGCTTCATTTTCCTAGGTTGGCGCTTTTCTTCCCGGTAGCTTAAATAATGACAGAAGATTGGAGGGAAACACCTTGTGTAAGAAACACAAATATGAAAACGGCTTATAGACCGGGTTGACCAAACAATCAGTGATCTGATCTCTTATGCACATTGTCACTCTTTCATTTGGCATTGGAGATCAGGTTAGGCCTTAAAATTAAGGCCTATGTGAGGTCATGTTGTAATGACATTCTCTGCACCATTTAATTATAAATTATAGTCACTAGCTCTGTGTGGTTTCATTGCGGCTAGAAGCAAGTTTTTATTTTAATATTTGCGTACTTCTTATTTTTTATTTATTTTATCCAAAAGGAATATTTATAATTTAGATGAATTCTTCTTCAACCCAAAGTAATTGCAGAAGAAAATCTTAAATCAACAAGGCATACACACACCTGAAATGGGGGAGTGAACCAAAATTTCTGAGTTCTCTTAGAAAACAGAGAAAGTTGTTACAGAGTTAAGTGTGCCAGAAACACAAGAAATTACACTCTGCCCCCTCACCAACCCCACATGGTGCCAACAGAAACTGCTAGACAAACTAGTGAAATGTGGGAATTTATTGGCAAAAAGACACCTGAGATGTGGGCACAGAGCTTGCTAGTGAGAGAGATGATTTCCATCCAAATGCCATTCACAGTCTGACTACTCCATATCGCCCTTGGTGGCAGAAAAGGAACATAGCGGGGCCGGAGGTACAAACCTCCCGCTTAGTGTTTTGATTGGCACAGAACTGTGACACAGCGACACTGTGGTAAGCATTCTAAGAAATGGGTACTGAAGAGCCGGGGGAGGAGTGCTTACCTAGTGTGGGCAAGGTCCCATGTTCGATTGCCCAGTTCCATAAAAATAATGAGAAGAAACATACTCTGGGAAAGTATAGCACTTATATCTAGCTACTGGTATTTTGTTGTGCCTTTGGCTGATATAATTTGATTACATGCCTAGTACTGAATTAACTATTTCATTAACTAATTCAATTGAATTAACAATTTATACTATGAGTTGATTTTATCAATGTGTAACATCTATCTGCACTGTGTGTGTGTGTGTGTGTGTGTGTGTGTGTGTGTGTGTGTGTGTGTGAAACATAAGCAGATGAGGAATTATCTATGACCTGCATGAGGTTTTATGTGGGTTTTAATTGTCTTTTTTTTTTTTCCCCACAGTGTGTGGACAATATACGATGTAACGGTTTAATGACTATAGTCTTCGAAGAGAATTCCAAAGTTACTGTGCCACATATGATTAAGTAAGTACAGTGACCCTCCTCCTTCCTTTTCAATCAAGGTCAGATTGACAGAGAATGAGAAACCTTGAGTAGAATATTGTCAGTAGGATCCTGCCTCTTCTGGAGAAGGGCCATCTTGTCAGTCGTGGAGTAATTCATGTTAAATCATAGTAACAATAACTGATATCAAAATGCTTTTTCAGATTCACAGCCTATTGGCAGATAGCATTGAGATTTGTTTTCATATGATTAACATATACCCTTACCCAGGACAAAAATCCTGTCAAGATGTTCAAGTTCAATATTAAAAACTGCTTAAGGTCAGGGGGTGGATGAAGGTGTGGCTGACTTATTTGGCATCATACCAGTGAGTATGAATCCTCTCCCTTGGCTTTGGCTGTAGAGCCAGGTTTAGGCATTAAACACACCTGACGGGCATCAGCTGGCATGAATGTGGCACTACCTGCTCACTGCATGTGTCTGGCTTTGCTCAGAGGCCATTGGCTCAGGCTGCTATCTTGTCCATATTTCAACAAAGCAAATCGTGCAGCTTAAGTGGATCACTAGGAGGCTGTAGTCTAGAATGAGGAGCTCTATCAAGAGCTACCAGTTATGCATGCTAGAGCTCGCTGTATCAATGGTCTGTGTACTATTTCATCTTCAAATGCAGAAACTAGGGAAGAAATTGTTCTTTGTCCTTGTTTTATTTTTGGTTATTTGTGTTCCACATCGTTTTCATGTTTTAATTGTATGTGAATGGGTGTCTGTCTGCATGTATGTCTGTGCACCATGTGCATGCAGTGCACTTGGAGGCCAGGAGAGGGCGTCAGCTCCCCTGGGACTGGAGTTACAGATGGTTGTGAGCCACCATGTGGATGTTGGAAATGAACCCAGGTCAGTGCTCTTAACCACTGAGTAATCTCTCCAGTCCCTTGCATTCCACATTTTAAGAGTAGAATGTCTTCTTTAAAAAACAACTTGGTTATATATTTTTAAGTTATTTGGAAATAAGAACATTTCTTTCATGCTTTCTGTATGGATATTTTCAGGTCTGAGCTGCCATACTGAGACAAATTACAATGTTGTCTATAGAAGGATGATCTTGCCCTTCAGAGACGTGTTAGCATGGCCCGTGTACAAGAACAGTTGCAGAACTTGTTATCACATTACATGAAGGCAGAGAATGAAATACTAGAAAAAAACATTTAAATAAAATAAAATTTGCAAATAGCATCATAAATTTTAGTAATTTTAAAAGTATTTTGGGGAGGGCTGTTTTTAGGCAAAGATTCTGTTTACATTGAATTTCTTAGGTTTTTTACTCAGAAATTTCTTTTTGAATTAATGAAAATATCTGAATATTCAGAACAAGTATAGATAGACTATTAAGTCAGGTTTAAATTCTGTCTTATTTTTTGAATAGAATTTTCTTATTAATTTTTATGATAGGACTCTGATTTCACAAATAATATCTATTTGAAAGTCCATGTTGCTTTAGAGTCATAATGGTAAGTCAGACATTTTTGGTAAGTTCAAAGCCCGTGGAGCCCAAGGCAACTGCATATCTACCCCTGTACACATTGTGTTGACTTCCAAAGTTATTGGAAACCTCAGGTGTGTATCTGTCCCTCATGGCTGATGATGCATGCATTTACTGTCCGCTACCATGACAGTGACCCTGTCCATTCTCATTAGCATAACCACTTTCATACAGACCAAACCTTTCTGCTTTGAATTCACAGAAGTGACACTTAAGGGAGCAGCAGGGCCTGCTGACCTGCCAGGGCTTCCACGCCACACTTGGTACAGTCCTAAGGCAGAGAAAGGGTCCTACCTTTGTTTATCCCTTCAAGTTTGCCCAGCCTCATTGGTTCTTTAAAACTAGAGGAAAACATACCTTAAGGCCTGTATTTCTGCTTCCCTGTGCATCTGTCTCCATGGCTACATGCCGTTGGAGAGGCAGGGGGAAATCAACATTTTTCCAGAGTTAAAAGGTAAAACATTCTAACGTAATCACATCTTGTTACTGGCATGACATCACTTCATAAACACTCACTTCCTTTTAAAACTCATCGATTATGATGGGTGATTTGGCTTTGATCTCTCAAGACTGCTTTTTATGTGTTTACCAAAAAGGAATTGCTAATGCCATTGGAGGCTTAAGTAACACATTGTGGCTTTCTTGAGAGTCCCTCGGGAAATCATGGAAGAGCCTACCCTGTGTAATAAAAGAAAATTAAGTAATTTCATAATATTTAATTTCTTTTCTTAAAATGAAAATATAATCACAAATTTGAAGGACAGTGGTGTAATTAGTTTAACTTAATCTCATGCTGGCTGCAACACATTTTTCCCTCCTAGTGTTTTGAACAAACTAATTATAGTGAAAAAGATGCAAAGCTCAAAACTAGTTAGAATGCAAAATTGTGACAGCCATTACATGAAACATTCCTTTAAGTGGTATATAGACTTAGGCTTTCTTTTAATAATATTTGACCTTGACTTTCTTAGATGATGGAGATTTTGATGGGGAAAAAAGTGAGAGGAAAAAAATGACTTTTATTCAACCATTTCAGGACAGACTGATTAATTCATAAAAGTCACCCAGGTCTTTTGACAAATGAGAACTCAAGAGCCAGAAAACTACTGCTAGCTGAGGATCATGCAGTACATGGATAAAGAGTAGTGCTGTTTTTTTTTTTTTTTTTTTTTTTTTTTTTTTACAAAAAAGAAACCTTCAAAGACCCACTAGTATATTTTCAAAATCGATAACGTGAATAACATCAACAGGCTGCCCTTGGCCAGGTCCTCTGCGGAGGTAGGCAGCCATTTAAAACGCTCTTAAAGGCTGCTGCGGACGAAGTGCTTTTGCCTGCACCATGCATACTTTGTGCCAGAGCGAGCTAAGAAAGCTATTGATTCTTGCTTATCTCAAAGAAAATAAATATATAATTTAAAAGTCTTCAAAGTGTTAAAAGGCCTAAGTAGGAACTCTTATAACAAAGCCAGCTGGTTCTTAGCAAGAGAAGTTAGCGCTCACAAAGTCACAGGCCCTGCACATGTCCTTTCACAAAATAGTGAAAGCCAGGAGTGACAGTTGTCTGTTCTGATGCTGTCCTGAGGAACAGAGTTGGTAGGGATGCAAAGGCTAAAGGCAGCCCAGTGGCCCTCGGAGAGAGGCTGCCAGTGAATGGCCTCCTGCCGAAGTCAAGGGCAGCAGATGGAAGAAGGTTTTGTCAAAACACAGTCAGTACTAGATACTGTCCAGGGGAATATTACCAAGTATTACTATTTTTTTTTTTAGGGATTCATTTCCTATAGTGCAGAATATTGAAAACAATGCAAATTAAGCATCCCAATTTGTAAGTTAAATTGTGTTAAAATTTTAAGCCTTTTAATAAGCCAGAAAGAATAAAATAAATCAATTATGCATTCATTTCAAGAAGTTAGGAAGAGAGGGCCCAGCAGGATGGCATTGGCATCTGTAGCCCAATGACCTGAGTTTGACCTCTGAGGACCCACATGATGGAAGGAGAGAACTGATTCCTACAGCTGTCCTCTGATCTCCACATGCATCTCCCCACATAAATAAATACAAAAGGTAAATAAACAAGAGGAAAAATTAAAAAGAAAGTAAAACAAAAGGAAAATTGTGAAAGAAAAAGGATGAGAAATTACACGTAGGAAAATATTGGAAGGGCATAATAAGTTAATATGGAAGGCAACATAATTGATGAATCCAAGAGCTGGTTCTAAAAGATGAAATAGTAAATTATATCTTGTATACTGGTATTACATATTTATAATACAACATCTCCTAGTTACACATCACAGATAGCCATGCCCTGGGGCTCGTTAACACTGTTTTAAACATACATTTGGCCTTTTGCTTTAAGCACATGAGAAATGTTTTCTCTTTCTACTAAAAGAGACTTTGGTATCGTCTTTCTACTAAAGCATGTTGAACTAGAGCAAGAAGGAATCCAAGCAGTAAAATCACATGTCATTACAACCTCCATAATTCGTTCTAGCCTCCCTAAATTAGAATGTCATGGTGGCACATAATGTTCCCAAACACATCTGTGGCATGTCATACTGCCTGCACATTGCTCTGTTGTCTGTGGAAAACACTGGGAGCCTCACACGAGTGTGCGCGGACGGACGGACGGACGCCGCAGCGCTCAGTGGCTGAGGCGGAAGCTCCGGCAGCTTTGCTCACGTGTTCCTGCTTTGCATGTAGGTCTGATGCCCGTCTTCATAAAGACGACACTGACATCTGTTTCAGTAAAACGCTCAATTCCTGCAAAGTGCCCCAGATCCGCTACGCCAGCGTGGAGCGCCTCCTGGAGCGGTTGACCGACCTGCGGTTTTTGAGCATTGACTTCCTCAACACCTTCCTGCACACCTACCGCATTTTCACCACGGCCACCGTGGTGCTGGCCAAGCTCTCGGACATCTACAAGAGGCCTTTCACCTCCATCCCGGTCAGGTACTCCAGCCTTGCCAATGGCAGTCCTACTCTTGATGAGGCCCCTAAGCTATTGGCTCACCTTTGACCTTCTTCCATCAGCGGAAGTGATAAGTGAAAGTCTCAGAGTTCCCCAGGAAAGAAGACATGGGAAAGCCTGAGGTCTCCAAGTGACATTTAATTACTCTATGATTATTTGGAAGCTGGCTCATTATTTTAGCATCATCATCATTATTATTGTTGTTGCTATTTATGATGATGATGATGATGATGACGATGATGATACTCTTAAGTGTTAATGTACCTCTGGGTCATTAGATGTTTTGTTGACTTAGTAATTATGGACCAGACCTAAGTTTGGCATACTTAACAAGACCCACAAAGATGGAGTGCTACTGGTCTTTAAAGACTTTACCACACCTTAGTGGCAAGGGATCAGAGGACCTGGACAGTGTCTGCGTTCTCCTGGCAAGGGCATGTGCACCTGGAGCATTTAGATTAAGGAAAATCCAGCAGTGGACATGAAATGCCCTCAAGGCCTTCCAATGCAGATGAGCTGAGAGTGTGTTCTTGTGTGATATCCGAGACATGTCTTCCTTTGGCTACAATCTGTTAACAAGCCTTTGCTCTTCATTTTAGGTCATTAGAGTTGTTTTTTGCCACGAGCCCCAACAACAGAGGCGAACATATGGTGGATGGGAAATCCCCACGTCTCTGTCGAAAGTTCTCCTCCCCACCTCCCCTGGCTGTGTCCAGAACATCCTCTCCAGTGAGGGCCAGGAAGCTGTCCTTGACGTCTTCCTTGAACGCAAGGATCGGAGCCTTGGACCTGACCACATCTTCGTGTTCTAGCAGCCCCACCACCCACAGTCCTACAGCATCCCCACCACCTCACACTGGTAAGGTACCACTGGATCTTAGCAAGGGGCCTCTCTGTTCGAGAGCCAAGTGCAGAGGCTGTAGGAGGGAACACAGCTAGACCCCATGGGGATCTCTGTAGCTGGCCCAAAGGAAGTATGCCGAGTGTCTTCTCTAGGACATTGACACGATCACATTCCACACGTGCAGCTGCCTGATTTCCCACCATTGCTTCTGGAACTCTCAGTTTTGTTTTTGACAGTTTTCCTACTTCTGCATAGAAAGTAGAATGGATACAGTGTCAGTTGAATAAAGAGCCTCCCTGCAGATTCTTGCCTGGGAGCAGCAGGGAGCAGCAAGTTTTCCCCATTCTCTATGGTCAGAGGCTAGTTGCAGCTGGTCATCCACAGAAGGCTGGTACTTGAAGATCATGTTACCGGAAAGCTCTTGGATTTGGGGAAAGGCTGGTTATCTAAAGAGTCTGCCATGATACTTTGTATAAAAGATAAGCCTTGGGTATAAAGATAACCCTTATCTAAGCACGTGGGCTCAGGGTTTCCTCCTTCTCCATTGTCTGTACGAAGGACCTGTCCCTCCCAACCTTTTCCTCCTGAGTGTGGCCTAGCCCGGAAGCGCTAAGAGAGTTGAAGAGCTTGGTCATGGCGGAGGGGCCATTTCAGGTCACACTGAAGGTACAGTGAGACAGAGCAAAGCAGAAACAGTGTTGATTTTCTATGATGCCACCAGATTTTGTTGATTTTAAGCTACGGTTTTACTTTGTATCCCAGGCTGTTCTTCTCAAATTCATAGTAATCCTTCTGCCTTAAACTTTCTAAGAGCTGGGATTATGGGCATGAACTCACCATGTATGGCTGCAAAATGGTTTTTTGAGTGTGAAGTAATGTCATATGAATCCAGCATACCTTCTGCAGTAGCTTCCCGTTGTATGTAGAATTAAGTACATTTCTCCTTTTAAGGTCTGCAGATCCTACAAGACTTGCTGCTGATTCACAACCCATGTTCTTCACATTCCCTCATCTACTAGGCCATCATCACAATGATTTCCTCTTGGTGTCTTTGAAATCCCTTGGTTGGTCCTAGGAGAGGACCTTTGTAATGTCTTTTTTTTTTTTTTATGCCAAATGCTGTTTATTGAAGGAGGGAAGAGGTCTTAAATACAGGCTTACAGCACAATGGGAGAACCCCGGAGGGCATGAGTTCGCTACCAATGTTTTACAATCTTGCATCTAAGCTGTTAATGCCCATTAGGCAGGATACACAGACAAGGAACTTCCTTAAGCATTCAGGAGGGTGGAACCCGGCAGGGAATTAGCCTAGGGAGGATATCAAGGTCAAGGTCAGCAAGCAAGGCAACAGTTACCCAAAATGGGGGCCAGGACCCTACAGGTCCCCCTTTTACTAAAAAATGAGCTTCTGACTTAGGTTTCGTGGGACATCAGCAGGTCACCTTACCCATCATGGAGACGCCTGCCCAGGCCACACAGGTGCTCTGTCTTAGGTTGGTGAGCGCCCCCCCAGGCATTACTCGTCTCTGAATACTCATTATCATACAGGCTCAATCATGTGTGAGCTGCAGAGTTAACTGCTGCCAAAGATCTCAAAGTGGCACTGGGCTTGCAATCTGTGTGTTCAACACAGAAAAGACCAACAGAAGTCCTAGCCCACCCACAGTCAGTAGGCTAAAGGCAACTGAGCCATTCCCTTCCTTAACGAGCCTTACTGCAAATTGGAGTCCTTGTAAGATGGTATCCCAAAAGCAAATGGAACTTGAGTTTATAAATTTATAATTTTCAAAGCCAATTGAAATGTATATAACTATTGAATTAAATTTATCATGCCCAATAGAATGAAAGATTAACTAACTGTGGTAGCTACTTTTGCTGTCAGGGTCTCCACTGTGCTAGCTGTAGTAAGCAATTATGAAATGGTAATCCCAGAAACAGTAGCAGCAGTGGCTGCCATTGCTATAACAGCAACAACAACAGCAACAATGTCAAATTCTCTTCTGGAGCATGTGGACATCCACTGGCATGGATACAACTCCAGTAACACGAACTGCCAAGGCCCATTTTTCTTGATCCCAGCATGACTTAAGCTGGCAGCTCTTCTGGAGAATCCAACCTCATGGCTACAGTTCCTAGGCTTACATTAATGCTTGCCAAAGCTGGCCATGTTGGGCTCTCAATCCCCATTGGCATCAGAAGGGTAGAGTTTTTCATGAAGACCCAATAGGTCTCTGTTATGTTGGGCTTCAGCAGCCTTTGTAATGTCTTTACCTGTGCAAAATCCATGAGATCGACGGCGTTGTCTAGCTTGTTCTCCTCAGTATCTTCCATGCCTTGGCCAGGAAGTAAAGGTTGCTGAAGTGAAGGGATGGAGAGAATTACTCAGGGAACTGTGTCCTCCGGTATAATAGCTGATATTGACTATCAACTTGATGGGATCTAAACTCACCTCTGGAGATGCCTTTGAGCAGTTTATAGACTGGGCTAAATGAGATGGGAACACCACCCTAACTGTGGGGAGCACCACCCCAAGGGGTGGGGTCCCAGACTGAATAAAAAGGAGAAGTGAGCTGAGGACCAGCATTCTTCCTCTGTTTCCTGACTGTGGATACACAGCGAGGGGCTACGTCACGTCTCCTTCCTCCTGTCACAACTTCCCTTCCTCCATGGACTGTAGCCTAGAACGGTGAGCTGAAATAAACTTTCCCTTCCTTGGGTTGCTTCTGTCAGGCATTTCGTCACAGCAATAGGAGGAGCAGCTGATACAACCCATGCACTGCCCCGTCTTCCTTGGGGCTGCACACTGCAGGGCTCCAAACACAGCCTCTTATTATTTTAAAAATCCAGTGTTATCATGAAGAATATAAGCAGGTCTCACAGCTGCATTAGCAACGAGCTTCTCTCCTTGTATGTAACTGACTTATTTATTGAAGATAACATAAAAATCAGGCAATAAATCAGGCGGTGCCCAGATTTCAAAGAGGGTCACCCAGATGGAGGCCCAAACCCTTGCTTTACTGTTTGCTGGAAGCATCTATGTGCTCCCTCAGATCATTTGAATGAGCTTGCCAGGTGAAGTACTTAATGGAATTTTAACTGGAGTGCTTGTCATCATCCAAAGTGGTATCTTTTTTTTTTTTTTTTAAAAAAAGAAATTCTTTAAATTGACAAGTGAGCAATTAAGAAGGAAAAAAGGGAGAAGATAATTAAAAAGTCATTAAAACAACAAGCTTGGCAAAATCATGATGAGTTCTTGGAAATAATGAGGCAATAACTAGCTGACGTACGTAACCGGGGCTCTACCCGGTGCCACTGTCTGCTCACCTCCATGGAGGGAGTGACGTGGGCTTATCTTAACCCTCCCTGGGGCCACAGTGGCCTGGGTGGTCAGGAGATTCCCCGGGCATGGTGGGTTCTTTCCCCTCCGTTACCAGACTACAGTGAATAGGAGGAGAAGTCTGTATGCTCATGTTCTTTGGAATCAGGAGCACTTTAGGAGCAAGGCTTTCAGTGTCAGCTCCTCATGGCTCCCAGAGCATCCTTTGGTGGATCGCAGAGCTGGATTGAGGTCTGCTGCCCTATGTGTGGTCAGGCCTGCTCTGGAGACTGAGCAGATACCATGTGTGCTCCCATGGCTGGAACAGTTGTAGGGGGGAAATAGCATGGCCCCCTACGCTGCCTATGTGGGTAAAAGACACCATAAGGGCAGGTGGCATAAGGGAGGTTGTGCCTTGCTGAGCATAATCAGGGGGTACCTTCCATATGAGCCAAGAGAGCCCGGTGACTTGAGGGAGGAGGCAGGCCACGTTCTGGGAAATGAGACTGTCACACAGGTGTGGGTGAGCGCACCTTGGAATGACTGTCCTTCCTGAGGGCACAGCTGCTTATGAATAGCCTTCCCCTGCTTTGATACGTAAGTCCTGTAAGCAGAACTTCTGGGTTTTCCTAGGACATCCAAACACTGAGACAAATGAAAGCAAAAGTCCTCCTGATGTTCTTTTTCCTCCTTTCTTCCTTTCCTTTTTACTATTCCAGTGCTTTTAAGTTAAGAAAGCTGAGCAAATCAAAAGCATTCACAACAGATCACTAGAACCTTTTCATCTTGGACAGGGAACTCCAGCTGTTGACCAACACCTCATCCCCATCCTCTCCCCCATCCCCAGCTTCTGGAAAGCACCATTCTAGTTTCTGTTTCTGGGAGTCTGTTGGAAGTGAAATTACATCGCTTTTGGCTTTTTGTGACTGACTTACTTCATCGTAATGGCCTTAAGCTTCTACCATGTCACACGTAATAGGATTTCTTTAATTTTTAAGGAAAATAATATTCCACTGTGTGTGCTTTTGACATTTTTCTTTGCCATTTATCCCTCAGTTGATGTCTGAGGTACTTCTACATCTTGGCTACTGTGTACGTGAGCACACATGGACATGAGTGCAAATATCCTGATCTCAGTTCTCCTGGGAAGCACACGCAAACACCTTTTCCCATAAGTACACACACCCACATGTGCACACACACACACACACACACACACACACACACACACACACACACACTTGAACACACACATGCATATACAATCACACACATAGGCACACACATGAGCACACATGTACCACAAGTGAGCTTTCTGGGACACATGCTAATTCCGTTTTTAATTTTTGGAGGAATGTGCATGGTGAGTGCACACTTCACATTCCTAGGAGTACAAAAGAGTTCCACTAGTACTTGCTAGTTTTTTATTTTATTTTGAAATAGGTTTCATTTTAGTGGGTGCCATGTAAGAAACCTTCTTTTCTTTTTCAAAAGAATTTTCAGAAACATTTTAATTTCACTATCACCTATCAGTATGGATGTGAATGCTTCTTTGGTATCAGAACAGGACCTCTTTGTGTCTTCATGATGGTCTAAATACAGTCCTTCATTCCAGTGGCTCCCACGCAGTGCACCCCACTTCCTGTGATTGGATGATCATATCACACTGCACCCCACTCCCTGTGACTGGATGATCATA